TGTGATTTTCTCACAGTAACCACCAACCCAGCAGTTTTAACACCAGTCCGGTTAGGCTTCACTTAGTTTTGATAAAAAAAAAGTTTATAGAGACCTCTTGACAATCCCTACAACCACATGTCCTTTTTGTACCAGCGTGTAATTTGCCTCCCTACCTTGTATACCCTATGGTCTTCTGTCTGTGTAGACGTCGGTGTACATATCTATTTTGGTGCTGTACAAGGTAGGGAGGCTAGTTACTCCATTTATCGAGGTGTACTCCAAAGGTTGTATATATCAGTAATCCAGTATCACCATCATCATAGATTCTTAGTGCTGAAATAAAGCGCGTCAGTTTATACCTTTTACTCGTCTTCTCTCTGTTGGCTCCCTTGTTTGTTGCCGCCTTCGTCACAATTGGTCACAGAAGGGCCTGTGCAACGCACCTACGTGTACGGGCGCTTCTTGTAGACGGTTTAGCACCACGCCTTCTTTGCAATTTGCAAATGGATTCAAATTTGGTTGGTCTTCTTTGCAAATGGATTCAAATTTGGTAGGCCTTCTTTGCAAATGGATTCAAGCGAGGCTCAGTTATTAGCTAGTCCCGCTAGTGAAAATCTATTAGCACGGCTTCCTCTGGCTAGCAGCTAAGTAATTAGCTGCAAAGATCAAACAAGTGCTTACTTGTCCTAAGCATCAACATCAACTTCCCCCTTGATTCAGTCAAAAAAATAATTTTCAACCCAGTGACATATCCCGGAACGGGGCAACCAACCCTTCTGCCAAATTTGCAGTCCTCGTGTTGACTCTTTGTATTAAGAAGCTAGGCCACGGATCTGTCTTGTCCACTAGCGGTAGCAGCGAACACCGGCACCGGCAGAGGAACTGAGGAAGTGCGTGCGCAGCCTGCAGCACAGATCGAGCTAGGATAACTCAGCCATGGCCGCGTCTCGCCGCTCCTCCGTTGAGCTGCCCGTCGCCGACCCGGCGGCGGACCGAGACCAAGTCCGGCTGCGCCAGCTGGGCTACAAGCAGGAGCTCAAGCGAGGCCTCTCGTAAGCAAGCTAGCTAACTGCACGCCTTCGATTCTTTCGCTGCTGAATTGAATTGAATTGAATTCTGAGCTCTGTTTTTCCTTCTGCTACATGTGCTGAATTGCTGATGATGCGTATAATAGCGTTCTTTCCAACTTCGCCTTGTCTTTCTCCATCATTTCCGTGTTCATGGGCGTGACCATCACATACAACACCGGCCTGCGCTACGGCGGCCCCGTGTCCATGACGCTGGGGTGGTTGCTCGTCTCCGCCCTCAACGGCTGCGTGGCGCTGTCCATGGCGGAGATCTGCTCGGCGTACCCGACCTCCGGTGGGCTCTACTACTGGAGCGCCAAGCTCGCCGGCAAGGAATGGGCTCCCTTTGCATCCTGGCTCACTGGATGGTACGTTATAGTTGTACATTCACAATAATCTGTTGTGGCAACTTTCACAAACCTGCAATGGACCGTCTTGCACCAAACACTGTAGGGTCAGTCTCAGCGAGAGTTTTCATATTCCTGTTTTGAAGACTCACGTATTAGAAACAGGGTAAACAAGTTCATTTCCGTGAAACGCTTATCATCTGTCATGTCCAAACTCTCATTAAAACTGGCCTAAGAAACGGGAAAAAGATATGTGTCAAGCATGCATTCCGCCTTTTATTATTATGTTAATATGACTTTTGTGATATAATGCCATAGGAGACTTTTGCATTCATTTTGCCTAATCAAGTTTCATCTTTTATTGTATCGTGTCGATCGTGTGCAGGTTCAACATCGTGGGACAGGTACGCCGGCCCGATCAATCTTCCTTCACAGGTTCATGCATATGCATGCATGACTAGCTGCAACATAAAGTATATCTATATTTTCGTATTTAAATTTTAATTGGTGCCGAAATTATTCTTGATGATGTAGCTACTAGCTAGGAGTACATTATACTACTTCGTTTTGCGTGCTTTGGATAGTCAGCTTCTGGCTGCTAACGGCATCCTGGCATGTGGAATCGTTTCCATACGAAGGCCAGCCGGCCGGCCGGCCGCATTCTGAGGCATCATTACTATTAGTAGTCAACTTTACTACTAATTTCTAATCATTTGAAAATTACTCGGCCTCCATGCATGTCTCAGTCACAAAAGGGACGGAGTCCGTTAATGTTCATCTAATGGTACGTACGGTTGTTGAAGATATGACTGAGAGAACGTACATCATCAGCGACTTCATTAGTAGAAGATGCTCATCAATGGTTGAAAACATGCATGATTGAGAAAGTAATTCGCAAAAGAAAATGTGATTGAGAAAGTAACAAAATTTTATTATATATAGCCTGTGTTCTCATCGAACGGGTGAACGTGAATCCGTAGGCGTCCATGGTTAAGAATTTATATATACATTTTGTTTATATACTGGCCCAAGCGTCAAAAGTTTGACTAGGATCAATCTCGAATGTTCATTTTCGATGACCTGCACCTGCACTTGACATTCTTGATTAAACTATGTCACGCACACAGTGGGCGGGTACCACGAGCGTGGACTTCTCGTTGGCGCAGCTTGTGCAGGTGATCGTCCTGCTTGCCACCGGAGGGCTCAACGGCGGCGGCTACATGGCCTCCAAGTACGTCGTGCTGGCCATCTACGGTGCCATCCTGGTCGTACACGGGTTAATGAACAGCCTCCCTATCCGGTACCTGGCATGGTTCGGCCACCTCGGAGCATTCTGGAATACCGCAGGTATAAATACCATATATCCTTCTTAAGTTCTTAACGAATATACGGAGTACATATGTAGCATCAATTCACTAATACATGTAACGTTATTGGTGATAAAAAATATATATATTATATGTAGGTACATTTGCTCTGGTGATCATCATTCCAGCCGTTGCGACGGAGAGGGCGGGCACGGAGTTTATCTTCACACATTTGAACACAGACAACGGCATGGGGATCCACAACAAGGCTTACATTCTTGCCTTGGGGTTGCTGATGAGCCAGTACTCGCTCATGGGCTATGACGCATCCGCACACATGGTACAACTGGTGTACTCTCGTCCAATCTGACAAAATAGATGTGTTAGCTGATGGACAATAACAATGCGTGCGTGCAGACGGAGGAGACGAAGAACGCGGACTGGAGTGGCCCAATGGGGATCGTCACCTCCGTTGCTCTGTCCAGCGTCTTGGGATGGATTTACCTGGTGGCCTTGGCGTCGCTGATGACGGACATCCCCTACCTCCTGGACCCCGGCAACGACGCCGGCGGGTACGCCGTCGCGCAGGCTCTGTACGACGCCTTCCACCGGAGGTTCGGCAGCGGCGCCGGAGGCATCGTGTGCTTGGGGACCGTCGCCGTCGCCACCTTCCTCTGTGGCTCTGCGAGCGTCACCAGCAACTCAAGGTACTAAGTGCAGTGCGCAGTGCATGCTAAAACGATTGTAGCATCATCAGCTGTTGTCTTTTTTATTTCCCCTAAAAAAAGAGCCTAGTACGTGTGTAGGATGGGGTATGCCTTCTCCAGGGACGGAGCGGTGCCATTCTCGAACGTATGGTACAAGGTGAACAAGCATGAGGTGCCCTTGAACGTCGTCTGGCTCTCCGTGTCCGTGGCATTCGCCATGGCTCTCACGGTGCGTGCGTCGCGTCACCATCTCTCAGCTACTTCAATCCAAGCAGCTACATACATACATATATAGCTCATAACATGATGTCCATCTATCAATCACCAGTCGCTGGGGAGCCAGGTGGCATTCCAAGCGATGCTGTCGGTGGCGACGGTCGGAGCATACATCGCCTACGGTCTGCCCATCGTCTTCCGCGTGACCACGGCCCGGAGATCCTTCGTCCCGGGACCGTTCAACCTCGGGAGGTACGGCCTCCTCGTCGGCTGGGTCGCCGTCGCGTGGGTGGCCGCCGTCGCCGTGCTCTTCTCCCTGCCCGTGGCGTACCCCGTCGCCGAGGACACCTTCAACTACGCGCCGGTTGTTGTCGGCGGCGTGCTGCTGCTCAGTGTCGGCTCGTGGGTGCTCCACGCCCGGTTCTGGTTTCGAGGGCCCATCACCAATGTTGACGCGTAGTGTGTTCGTACACGTGGTTTCATGGTTTGGACGTGTGGGTGGTGATGTAATACATGACCCATGCATGTGTGAAAAATGTCCACAATCTAGTCTGTATACACATCTCTATACTAAGGCCCTGTTTAGTTCTCAAAAAGTTTCTCAAAAAGTGATACAATAATCATCACATCGAATCTTGCGATACGTGCATGGAGCATTCAATGTAGACGAAAAAAAAACTAATTGCACAGTTTAGTTGAAAATCATGAGACGAACGTTTTGAGCCTAATTAGTTCATGATTGAACACTAATTACCAAATAAAAACGAAAGTGCTAAATTTTTAAATTTCACGAACTAAACACAACCTAATTGTTCACTTCATTAATGTTATCTTTGCCCAAACTTCCAGCTGTGTACTTTCTGCTCAGAAAGTATAAGTTCGAACTTTGTTCCATTATCTTAAAAAAAAATCTTTGCCCAAACTTAGGAAGAAGCTGTGTTCGCGAGGAAGCAGTCACCTGACGGACCTGTCATTTGCAAAGGAGGATCCCTGGACAAACAATGTAAAACAAAGGGAATTGTTGCTCGATGAGGTTGTAGGTAGCATAACAGGAGGAACATTGAAAACCTCAGGCCTTGGTACTTCCCTTGTCAGCAATACGAAAGGAAAGAGAAGCGAGAGGGATAGGGAAGGGAAGGGGCACAACCGAGACAGTCTTAGGTCTGGCCGTCCATCGTCATCCAACGCAAAGGGTGAAAGGAAGAATAAAACAAAGCCCAAACAGAAGACAGCCAACATCTCTGCTCCTTCAAGCAGTAACCCTAGGGATCTACAGCTTCCAGCTAAAATAACGCCTCCCAGCAACGGCAAGGCACAGCAGCTCCAGCTGCTGCTAGACATGATGATCCGGCAAATGCTTCGAACGACGCCGAAATGCCAGACTTATCTAACCTCGAGCTGCCAGGAATGGATGTTGACTTTGGTGGCTGGTTAAATCTGGACGACGACGATGGACTCCAGGGTCTCGACTTGATGGGCCTCGAGATCCCCATGGATGACATCAACGAAATAAACCTCATGATATAGAAGTACATTTTTCATCTCAGTGGCCCCCCATAGAAAAGCTCTTGATATAGTGCACAGGTAACATGTGATTTTCTCACAGTAACCACCAACCCAGCAGTTTTAACACCAGTCCGGTTAGGCTTCACTTAGTTTTGATAAAAAAAAAGTTTATAGAGACCTCTTGACAATCCCTACAACCACATGTCCTTTTTGTACCAGCGTGTAATTTGCCTCCCTACCTTGTATACCCTATGGTCTTCTGTCTGTGTAGACGTCGGTGTACATATCTATTTTGGTGCTGTACAAGGTAGGGAGGCTAGTTACTCCATTTATCGAGGTGTACTCCAAAGGTTGTATATATCAGTAATCCAGTATCACCATCATCATAGATTCTTAGTGCTGAAATAAAGCGCGTCAGTTTATACCTTTTACTCATCTTCTCTCTGTTGGCTCCCTTGTTTGTTGCCGCCGCCGTCACAATTGGTCACACAAGGGCCTGTGCAACGCACCTACGTGTACGGGCGCTTCTTGTAGACGGTTTAGCACCACGCCTTCATTGCAATTTGCAAATGGGGCCTTGTTTAGATTGCCTCAAAGTTCCAAGTTTTTTCACTCTCTCTTCATCACATCAATTTTTTGACGCATGCATGGAGCATTAAATTTAGGTAAAAAAAAAAACTAATTGCACAGTTTGGTTGTAAATCACAAGACGAATCTTTTGAGCCTAGTTAGTCCATGATCGGATAAAGTTTGTCAAATACAAACGAAACGTGCTAAAGTGTCCAGATTGCAAAAATTTGCAATCTAAACAAGGCCTGGATTCAAATTTGGTAGGCCTTCTTTGCAAATGGATTCAAGCGAGGCTCAGTTATTAGCTAGTCCCGCTAGTGAAAACCTCTGGCTAGCAGCTAAGTAATTAGCTGCAAAGATCAAACAAGTGCTCACTTGTCCTAAGCATCAACATCAACTTCCCCCTTGATTCAGTCAAAAAATAATTTTCAACCCAGTGACATAATATATCCCGGAACGGGGCAACCAACCCTTCTGCCAAATTTGCAGTCCTCGTGTTGACTCTTTGTATTAAGAAGCTAGGCCACGGATCTGTCTAGTCCACTAGCGGTAGCAGCGAACACCGGCACCGGCAGAGGAACTGAGGAAGTGCGTGCGCAGCCTGCAGCACAGATCGAGCTAGGATAACTCAGCCATGGCCGCGTCTCGCCGCTCCTCCGTTGAGCTGCCCGTCGCCGACCCGGCGGCGGACCGAGACCAAGTCCGGCTGCGCCAGCTGGGCTACAAGCAGGAGCTCAAGCGAGGCCTCTCGTAAGCAAGCTAGCTAACTGCACGCCTTCGATTCTTTCGCTGCTGAATTGAATTGAATTGAATTCTGAGCTCTGTTTATCCTTCTGCTACATGTGCTGAATTGCTGATGATGCATATGCGCGTATAATAGCGTTCTTTCCAACTTCGCCTTGTCTTTCTCCATCATTTCCGTGTTCATGGGCGTGACCATCACATACAACACCGGCCTGCGCTACGGCGGCCCCGTGTCCATGACGCTGGGGTGGTTGCTCGTCTCCGCCCTCAACGGCTGCGTGGCGCTGTCCATGGCGGAGATCTGCTCGGCGTACCCGACCTCCGGTGGGCTCTACTACTGGAGCGCCAAGCTCGCCGGCAAGGAATGGGCTCCCTTTGCATCCTGGCTCACTGGATGGTACGTTATAGTTGTACATTCACAATAATCTGTTGTGGCAACTTTCACAAACCTGCAATGGACCGTCTTGCACCAAATACTGTAGGGTCAGTCTCAGCGAGAGTTTTCATATTCCTGTTTTGAAGACTAACGTATTAGAAACAGGGTAAACAAGTTCATTTCCGTGAAACGCTTATCATCTGTCATGTCCAAACTCTCATTAAAACTGGCCTAAGAAACGGGAAAAAGATATGTGTCAAGCATGCATTCCGCCTTTTATTATTATGTTAATATGACTTTTGTGATATAATGCCATAGGAGACTTTTGCATTCATTTTGCCTAATCAAGTTTCATCTTTTATTGTATCGTGTCGATCGTGTGCAGGTTCAACATCGTGGGACAGGTACGCCGGCCCGATCAATCTTCCTTCACAGGTTCATGCATGCATGACTAGCTGCAACATAAAGTATATCTATATTTTCGTATTTAAATTTTAATTGGTGCCGAAATTATTCTTGATGAGATGTAGCTACTAGCTAGGAGTACATTATACTACTTCGTTTTGCGTGCTTTGGATAGTCAGCTTCTGGCTGCTAACGGCATCCTGGCATGTGGAATCGTTTCCATACGAAGGCCAGCCGGCCGGCCGGCCGCATTCTGAGGCATCATTACTATTAGTAGTCAACTTTACTACTAATTTCTAATCATTTGAAAATTACTCGGCCTCCATGCATGTCTCAGTCACAAAAGGGACGGAGTCCGTTAATGTTCATCTAATGGTACGTACGGTTGTTGAAGATATGACTGAGAGAACGTACATCATCAGCGACTTCATTAGTAGACGATGCTCATCAATGGTTGAAAACATGCATGATTGAGAAAGTAATTCGCAAAAGAAAATGTGATTGAGAAAGTAACAAAATTTTATTATATATAGCCTGTGTTCTCATCGAACGGGTGAACGTGAATCCGTAGGCGTCCATGGTTAAGAATTTATATATACATTTTGTTTATATACTGGCCCAAGCGTCAAAAGTTTGACTAGGATCAATCTCGAATGTTCATTTTCGATGACCTGCACCTGCACTTGACATTCTTGATTAAACTATGTCACGCACACAGTGGGCGGGTACCACGAGCGTGGACTTCTCGTTGGCGCAGCTTGTGCAGGTGATCGTCCTGCTTGCCACCGGAGGGCTCAACGGCGGCGGCTACATGGCCTCCAAGTACGTCGTGCTGGCCATCTACGGTGCCATCCTGGTCGTACACGGGTTAATGAACAGCCTCCCTATCCGGTACCTGGCATGGTTCGGCCACCTCGGAGCATTCTGGAATACCGCAGGTATAAATACCATATATCCTTCTTAAGTTCTTAACGAATATACGGAGTACATATGTAGCATCAATTCACTAATACATGTAACGTTATTGGCGATAAAAAATATATATATTATATGTAGGTACATTTGCTCTGGTGATCATCATTCCAGCCGTTGCGACGGAGAGGGCGGGCACGGAGTTTATCTTCACACATTTGAACACAGACAACGGCATGGGGATCCACAACAAGGCTTACATTCTTGCCTTGGGGTTGCTGATGAGCCAGTACTCGCTCATGGGCTATGACGCATCCGCACACATGGTACAACTGGTGTACTCTCGTCCAATCTGACAAAATAGATGTGTTAGCTGATGGACAATAACAATGCGTGCGTGCAGACGGAGGAGACGAAGAACGCGGACTGGAGTGGCCCAATGGGGATCGTCACCTCCGTTGCTCTGTCCAGCGTCTTGGGATGGATTTACCTGGTGGCCTTGGCGTCGCTGATGACGGACATCCCCTACCTCCTGGACCCCGGCAACGACGCCGGCGGGTACGCCGTCGCGCAGGCTCTGTACGACGCCTTCCACCGGAGGTTCGGCAGCGGCGCCGGAGGCATCGTGTGCTTGGGGACCGTCGCCGTCGCCACCTTCCTCTGTGGCTCTGCGAGCGTCACCAGCAACTCAAGGTACTAAGTGCAGTGCGCAGTGCATGCTAAAACGATTGTAGCATCATCAGCTGTTGTCTTTTTTATTTCCCCTAAAAAAAGAGCCTAGTACGTGTGTAGGATGGGGTATGCCTTCTCCAGGGACGGAGCGGTGCCATTCTCGAACGTATGGTACAAGGTGAACAAGCATGAGGTGCCCTTGAACGTCGTCTGGCTCTCCGTGTCCGTGGCATTCGCCATGGCTCTCACGGTGCGTGCGTCGCGTCACCATCTCTCAGCTACTTCAATCCAAGCAGCTACATACATACATATATAGCTCATAACATGATGTCCATCTATCAATCACCAGTCGCTGGGGAGCCAGGTGGCATTCCAAGCGATGCTGTCGGTGGCGACGGTCGGAGCATACATCGCCTACGGTCTGCCCATCGTCTTCCGCGTGACCACGGCCCGGAGATCCTTCGTCCCGGGACCGTTCAACCTCGGGAGGTACGGCCTCCTCGTCGGTTGGGTCGCCGTCGCGTGGGTGGCCGCCGTCGCCGTGCTCTTCTCCCTGCCCGTGGCGTACCCCGTCGCCGAGGACACCTTCAACTACGCGCCGGTTGTTGTCGGCGGCGTGCTGCTGCTCAGTGTCGGCTCGTGGGTGCTCCACGCCCGGTTCTGGTTTCGAGGGCCCATTACCAATGTTGACGCGTAGTGTGTTCGTACACGTGGTTTCATGGTTTGGACGTGTGGGTGGTGATGTAATACATGACCCATGCATGTGTGAAAAATGTCCACAATCTAGTCTGTATACACATCTCTATACTAAGGCCCTGTTTAGTTCTCAAAAAGTTTCTCAAAAAGTGATACAATAGCCATCACATCGAATCTTGCGATACGTGCATGGAGCATTCAATGTAGACGAAAAAAAAACTAATTGCACAGTTTAGTTGGAAATCGTGAGACGAACGTTTTGAGCCTAATTAGTCCACGATTGAACACTAATTATCAAATAAAAACGAAAGTGCTACAGTAGCCAAAATTTTCAAATTTCACGAACTAAACACAGCCTAATTATTCACTTCATTAATGTTATCTTTGCCCAAACTTCCAGCTGTGTACTTTCTGCTCAGAAAGTATAAGTTCGAACTTTGTTCCATTATCTTAAAAAAAATCTTTGCCCAAACTTACGAAGAAGCTGTGTTCGCGAGGAAGCAGTCACCTGACGGACCTGTCATTTGCAAAGGAGGATCCCTGGACAAACAATGTAAAACAAAGGGAATTGTTGCTCGATGAGGTTGTAGGTAGCATAACAGGAGGAACATTGAAAACCTCAGGCCTTGGTACTTCCCTTGTCAGC